CTTCATGCTTTATGGACGAAAGCAAAGCTAAGGAACTTTATTTTTTAACTGGTAAAGAAGTATATTTTTAAATTGTCAATAATGTATATAACGAGGTGGAGCAGTCAGCTGGATTGTGGTACCAGACTGGGTCGCGATATTGATATGTATTTTTTGTTCCTGCAAATGGAAAATCTGTGTGATACTTACTGCTTTTCAAACTTCTTAGCTGGCACACAATGATTTACGCTCTTAAGTGTAAATTTTCAGTGTTTAACAGCCAATGGCAGGCGCGGATCGCCTGGACAATCGCAGTCCAGCATGCCTGGTTGGCGCTAAAAACCATCACCGGCACGTTTTTCAAATTGTTCATTTATAACAACAGATAAAGCAAATTTAAGGTGGGCTGACGTGACAAACCAACTAGAGGAATCTGGCACGTCTTACACGAGGACCAAGGGTGAATGAAGATCACTTGCGAACATTTTGCCGTTCAACCGAAATCGCAGTGACAAGACCCTTTCAACCAAATGCTCATTATTTAGATTACGGGCACTCGAACCCACTAACAGTGGACCAGAATTGAGCGGCCGTGACTGGGAACACAAAAGCCAACGCTGAGACTCCGAGGCGGCAAGGCCGAAGAAAGCTGGAGAAGCGATGAATACCACGTGCTCCTGGTCGCCCAGATTTGTAATCTAGCAAAAAACGGCCGAAAAGAATCACGTCACGTTTTCCGTATTCAAACTAAATTCATCGGAAAGAGACTCGTAGAAGGGGTGAATAAAGAAGGCTAAGGGAATGGAACTAAGACGGAAGAGATGGTTGGCTACCTTTTCTTTTTATATTACACGGAGTGCTCAGTAGGGGTTTACTTAGCTTCATTCTAATACTTTTCCAAAATCTTGTACACTTTTTTTTTTTTTTGGGGGGGGGGGGGTTTACTTTTTCAGTCTCTAAGTAGGGTGTTAACCCTAATAAAATGGCGCTAGTCGTGGGACAAAGTAATTTAGGCCCTTAATCCGGGGTCACACTGCTTACACATCATACAAACTACAGTGAGTATAGAGATTCCAACGCGAGTCACCACGAGATCCCTGCTTCGAATGCCGCAGGGCAGTGAGTTCGAGAAGATATTTGCCACGCAGCATTCGAACCACAGATTTTGCGGTGAGTCGTGTTAGGCTGTTTTTTGTGTGATGCAAGAGCAGTATGACCCCGGCTTTAGGGGTGTAAAACCTTCTTGTATGTGTGTGTGTGTGTGTGTGTGTGTGTGTGTGTGTGTGTGTGTGTGTGTGTGTGTGTGTGTGTGTGTGTGTGTGTGTGTGTGTGTGTGTGTGTGTGTGTGTGTGTGTGTGTGTGTGTGTGTGTTTGTGTTGCCGAGTCTGTGGATGTAAAACGCGTGTTCGCGACAAGCAACTACAACGTTTCAGCAACGTTCATTTCGGACCTTCACGATGCTCGATTTTAGGAGACGATAAGAGGAAGTTTGCTCTGAGCATGCGTCGCGTGCTTGAATTTGGCCCGTTGTATTCTTTCGTTTCCAATATTTTAAAACAGAACTTAAAAAAAAAAAAAATCTCTTGCGGAGTTGCAGTATTTAATGGATATTACCGGCTGACCGGTAAATAATTGGAATATTTATTGTTGGAAGGCTTCCCCAAATGTTGCGATATTGTACTGGTAAAAGTTATCAGCCAAATTGAAGGGCAGTGCGCGAAAGTGCTGAAAGTGAACTTCCACGCGAAACCAAACGCTGACGAGTCCCGTGACACCGATTTCTTTGCGTATACGCAAACCCGCTGCTCTCTTTCGCGCACAACTACGAACGAAGATGCCTCCAAAAGCTTTGTTGGCATTGTTTCGTCGTCTGAGTTACGTTTCTAATGCACTTGGTTTGTTTAGGTGTCTCGTGCTGTTTTCACCGCTTTATTTGTGACTGCGCACCCGTGTGACCCAGAAAGTTCGCGTCCGCATCAAAATGCTTTCGCGTGCTGTTATTCGTAACAGGTGGAACTATTTTACGCTTGGAATTTCAAACAAACAAAAGAAAAAGAATGGTATCCGCAGCTGTATACTATAGCCTAGCACAACGACCTCGACTTTGCCGTCGACGTGGCACTGCAAGCTGTTGCCGGCGGTGCGCCGGCGTTGCAGATTCACAAACCGTCTGCAGATATCTTCGAAGCATACGAGCATATAGAAAGTATTTCCTTTCAATTCAATTTTTTTTTTTCTAAGACGGTGAGACTTAGGCGAGTGACATTTTTACCTTGTATTTATCAGGCTCGGCGGATATTAAACGAGGGAAGGATGGCCGTGGTAGGTCGGCGAATTCCCTAAAACATGTTAATTAATTTTTTTAATTATCGGTTCTAGGGATCATGTTGCAACTGCAGAGTTGACGTCATCAACTAATAGAGTTCAGACCAATGAAAATGAATTGTTAAAAAAATGTAACAGTTTTTTTTTTGTTTTTTTTTACGGTTTTTATCGCAATTCAAATACTGCTCGCAGAAAGCGCGCCGTAAGCGCTGCCTACAATGACGCTTGGAAGAGTGGTGTGTAGTCGTTTCCGTCAGTCGGCATCGTTACTTACGTCGCCGGCGCTTTAGTCGGCGCAACCACCGAAGACACGCTACCGCGAGATAGTGAAGACGCGATTGAAAGGGCTACGTCACTCTTCCTAGCGTCATTGTGGGCCGACGCGCATTTTGCGCGCAATTCTTAAAGTGGGCTAAAACAAATTCGAAAATTGAGCAGTTAATATTTTAACAGCAATAACACTTTCGCAAATATCTTTCAATTGGTCTAGCCTCTGATAGTAATGGCCGTAAATTCTGATATAGCAACTTTACCCCTCAAACCAATTATTAAAAGTTATTTAAAGTTTTTTTTTAATAATTAGCGACCTTACGATGACGATTGTTCCCCCATCTAATGTCCGGCGACCATAATAAATGGATGGTGAAAACGACACTCGTTTAACTCTTACCCCGTTTTCTTTTTTAACAAATATGTTTGCTTTAAACATGCTTGAGGTGTACGGGGCCTCGGATAATTTAATCATCATGTCAGCAGGGAACATCATGTTTTTTATGATGTACATGAGCTGTGTGATTGGAGCTTAACTCTATTACTAATGGATCTACGCAGCCTCGCCTAGCTCGCGTCCGCGATTCTCCATTGTCATGTACCGCTAGTTGCTGGAAGCCCTAGACGAGCTGGTACACCGCGACACGTGCGTCTGCTCGTCTTTGTTGGTACTTGTACAAGCAAGATGGCGACTACTCTGATGCCTGGGCGGAAGAGGAAGAAAAGGGTGCGTGACAAACAACGCAAGCCAAGACGGTAAAGGTGTGCTCGGGCTTCACGCATCTCCCGGCAGGGGCAACGTCGGATAGGGTGGTGTCGCGCCGGCACGATCAGGACGGTTGTAAACATGGCGCTCGAATGGCTCTCATCTCAACTTCCTGCTACCCCAAACGTGTTGCGCCATCTCACGGCATTTGTCACAAATGCGAGTGAACATTCGCCACACACGCTCCATGGAGAGGTGGCACCGTTTAGGCGCGCCGTTCTTCTTTCATAATATAGGCTCTTTTCTAAAGTCCGCGCTCCATCGAACGCTCTGGAATCCCTGCACGATTATGGACTAAAGCCGCAAAAATCACGGCGCACTTTCTGTATTTTGTTTGATTTAAAATACAATGACACACCTACATATAAAGCGAAAAACGAAAGACGTTGCGATTTCGGTGCTGCTTAATTGGACTGTCAGCTTCTATAGCCTTAGCTACGCTCCTCACGTTCGTCACCTTATGTAATGACTTGCGCTCTCCTCGGTGTCAGCTGTCCCGCCATTGCGCAGAAATTGTATATACTCCGTCTCAGGAGTTGTCTGCAGCAAAAGCAGGGGCATAGGCTAAGACACGTGGCTTTCGGGTTTGCTTTCCTTTCGCGAGTGCTCGTAGAAGAAAATCAAATCTGAAAGCCACGCGCTCGCGCCTGAGCTTTTGCCTCTTCTGTGCACGCAACTCATAGGATAAAGTATAAGCTTCTAGAAAGCGCCAAGTCACTTTGGAAAGGTGTCTACAGTCAAAGGTATCGTTAAAATAAACCCCGTCCTTTCCCAGAAATATTGTTGACAACGAGATTTATTTATAATAGCGAGACGAAAATCTATGTATTTACCACGTTTGTTCCCAATATTTTGCTTATATAGCGGGATATTCGTACTAACGAACCAAATAAGACGCTAAATCTACCGCTAGAAGACGCGTTCCGCTCACATTAGTTTTTTCTCGGCAGACAGTCCTGGTGTACTTGACGTCAGCTGTTGCTGGCGTCATTTCCACCAAGAACCACCATAATGAAGTAATGGAACTCGGCAAAGTAAAACGCAGTCGAATGCACACCAACACGCCGCTCTGCTGTCACGCTGCTGCGGTGGCGCTGTTGTCGTTTCGGCGCATGCGCAGAAGCGCGAATCGGGTTCCCGAGCACGCGCAGTGCCCACACCCGGCAAACGCGACCTTGTTTTTATAAACAGTCTGTTGGTCTGTAGACGATTTGCACACGAGCCAGATTACAGCCGCCATTGCTGACCTCCTGTTGTCTTACCGAGATACCGAGCCACTGAGACGGTCGTCGACGAGACTCCACAAAGGTCAAGGCTGTGGAGAAGGGCACGGTAGATTCTAAAATGGCAATAACCTGGCTTACTACGGCAATGATGAAGTTAAGTATAAACGGAACAAGAGGAAACAAAAACTGAAGGTCGGTTATGGCGACGCCCATGCACAGCTGCTGCGTTGCATCGGTAGAAAATAAACAGAACTGAACCCTGCCTTTGTCTCACTATTGTGTTTTTATTTTTCATTTCTTGTTTCGCGCGGGACAAAGAGCAAAAAGTAACGCTTCGTAGTATCGTACAGAAGGGCACGATCTTGTAAAGTTTCGCCCTTTCACGTGAGCATGCCGTGGAGGCATAGGCCACGTGTTTCCCGGGCCCCTAGGCCTTATGCCGGGAACGGGCTGACGGCGGGTGCCGTCTCGGCTCGAGCGCTGCTGCTGCCGCCCTGTCCCAGAATGAAGTGGGACAGCTGCTCCTCCCAGCTGAGCGCGCTCGTGTGCGAGATCCGCTTGCGCACCGTCACCGCCGCGTCCGGATCGAGGGAGTCGATGGGCAGCGTTTCGGGCGAGGTCGTCCTCGGCTTGACCTCCGCCAGCACGTCGTCACCGGCGCAGGCGAAGACCGCGTCGGTCGGCGATGTTCCGTCTACTCCAGGCGACGGAACTTCTGCCTTAGGGGCGTTGTCTCCTGGAGGGAAGAAATTGAGCGAAAATGACAACAAGTAGAGATATAAAAAAAAACAGATTAAGGATCACGTACAAAGTGAACACCATGCCGACATCTTTGACATCTACACTGATGAAAATTCGTGCCATTGAAGTGTGTTCTAAAAAATTCGTGAAGTACTTCAAAACCTAAGGGTCTGTTGTAAACCGTCGGTTTCCCAAAAGTTTTGTTATTCACTTCCTCCACCGAATTTTTCGTGACCAAAAAAAGCTTGGTCTGCAGATTTGACATTCTTCACGGAAAAGAAATTAAATCTAATGGCAGACCGCACTATGCGGGTGGTGGACCAATATATTAATTTAAACAGGATTAATTCTAATCATAAACTTCAAAACAAATCTTGAAACGACGTTAGGCTGTGAGTACTTAATGAGGGAACATAACTGTGCGTGCGCGACTCAGAAGTAAATAATCTCGTGGGACCCGTGCTTGAACGCAACTCACTTTCTTACTTTCTGAATGCACAAGGGTACCTGATCAAATTACTTGATTATTGGATAGGAAAATTGATTATACTATCACGCAATAAGCCTCCGCCGTTTCACGACAACGTATTGCGAAGGCGCCTTGTAACTAAAATTGTAGTCGCACGTCGAAAGATCCCACTGTGAAATGAATGAAACCTCAGTGCTTCGATTGGGCCGCCAATATTCATTTTCTCGTGTATTGCCTCGACTTGAAACTAGTTACGTTAGTTGCGTTAAATTTATACGCCTTTTGTTGCGTCTACCCTTCCGTATAGGTGACCTGCACGTGATGCCATCGCACCATGCTGGTGGCCATTCTTGCTTGTTTTTTTCTGAGTAAAAACAATCCCTGCTTCAAAATGTATGCGGCAGATGGCACGGGCTCAGCAGCGAAGCCATCACAACGGTTGCTGATATGACGTCAATGCAACCCATGTTCGTATAGGGCATATTCACTGGTGGGACATGCCCTCCAGTTAGTCGCGTGCTGACAGCGAGTGTTCTCCAGATGCCCATCGGAATGTCAAAAGTTTTGTTCATGGCAAATGATAGGTTGCTTTACCTACAGCTCGTGCTGATGACAGCATGTCAATACTATCGTATGAGAGCCGTGTTATGTAAAGAGTTTGGCCATTCGTTGGGAAGTATAGGAGACAAATGAGGAGGCGCCATTGGCCGAAAGCGGGCTGGGCGTGTTCCAGGGCGTCTTCACAAATTCGAATGTGGCCAACCAGAAGCCGGAAATAATAAACTGGCGCTGGTCACGAGAAACAAACCAAATACGTGCGTCGGAGTGACTCTCGGTGACTGAGAATATGATGCACGTGATGTTTCGATCATGGCCATCCAAAATCATGGTGGAAGAGTGTGACTAGCGAAACGATCGACATAATCCGTAAGCCAAGCGCCGAAGGCCGGGAATCTGCCGTCCGAGCGGTCACACTCTGTCCAAGCAAAACAAAGTTGAGCGGCGCTTTCGTTTCTTTCATCTTTCTGCACGATCATGAACGAAACATCACATGCACCCTATTTTCACCCATGAAGGGTTACCTCACTTCACTCTTACACGCTTATTAAAACCATATACCAACATATACCTTCGACCAAAACAGTTTCTCGCTACCACCGTTAAGGATTCTTTTAGACTTCTGGTTGGCCAAGGGGGCATGTCAAGCCCACTTTCTGCGTTTGGTACACGCCCTGGCACTGTCCGCGCCTCCCGTTGACCACACTCTCTGTATACGCCGCTCTGCTTCCTATATGTATGTCCAAGCGTCCTTAACTTCCCCTATGTACCCTTTTGTGTTACCCTCCCCACTACCTTCTCTTAGTTGGAGTAGGCGGCAGCGCTCAGAACGCGATGTGGTGGATTCAGTTTACCGTGAAGCTCTCACGACTCGTGTACTTGTTTTTGGCCTATTCAAACACTACCTGATGGAGGGTTCCAGTATTCTCTCTCTCTCTCTCGTCGTAAGATATCGCAAAACACTCCGTCGTAAGCTGTCGCAAATGTGTGACCATCAGGGAGAGCCTTTGAGTCTTCAGGAAGAGCCTTGGAGACACGCGGGGCGCGCACCTTTGTCGTCGCTTTGGCCACTTTCTTTTCTGCCCTTTCGAGACTTCTTGTTGCTCTCGGAGGTGTTTTCGGTCGGACGATCGGGGATGAGCTCCGTCTCCGAGTCTTCCGGCGAAGGCTCGCGGAAGGGCCGCTCCTCCGGTGCCCTGGTCTGGGACGACACCGCCGGTTGCTTGGCGGGTTTCACGGGGACGCTTTCCAACTGCGAGCGTCAGAATTGGGGAACAAGAATTAAAAAAAAAAAAAAGAAAACATTTTTCGTAGAATTTTATATTTACGTAACTTTGTCATCATTTACACAACAGCCATCGACAAGGTAAGAACAGCACGGAGGGGCTTCAGTTTTTAAGCTTCAAAACGCGAGCTTCCTACCTTTAACAACGCTTCTTTCTCTCGTGCACCTGAATTGCGCAGGCGCAGCCTGTCGCTTTTATTATGACATTGACAATATATATATATATATATATATATATTGCATATCAGCTTTTGGCATCGGTGCCTGTAGGCACCCAGCGAAGACAACGTCCGAAATAAAGGTTTGAGCGTAAACATATTTGAAAGAAATGTCTCTGGTTAGGAAAATAAGAGACTGACTGAACTTTAAAACTCTAACCAAAGTGTAATAAAAAAGAAATAAAAAAATCCCGGAAGGTTTTGTGCGGTATGGTTATTCAGCAACCATTCTATATAGGGTGCGAAAAGATTGGCAAGCGGTGACTCCGGCATATAACCAACGATAGTGCCGCTTGACATTTTCAGAAGTCCTGTTCAATAAGCTTTGCGCCTTTGGCAGTAATTGTCCTTCCCCCTCCCTATAGAAGTGCAAAAACGAAGTAGGAGATGGTGTTGGCATGCAAAGAACGGCGACGGTGCGTGGTTAAAGTTGCGACTCCCCCCCCCCCCCCCTCCCCCCCCCCCCCCCGGTCAGCTTTACCCCACTCGGTGTTGCGTTTCTTTTTTCTAATATTAATGAACTTTAAAGTAGTTTGGATAATAAGGTGGGTTGGTGCGCCTTGTGTTGTGGCTTTTTTTTTTCGTATTTTTGTTTTCTGACATGTTTCCTCTTACTCGGCCAGCTGATGTTGATCACAGTGCCCCCAAGCGCAAAGCTGAAAACACCATTGGCCGAAAGGCTATCATGGCCCGTCGATAGGTGGTGAACTCACTGTATGCTCTCCCGATTTACGTCACATATCGTATATCAAATTGTCACCATTTAAGTTCATACGTCGATTCGTGCCCGACGGTTGTTTCGGTTGTGTAGAATATCGAATGCGACAGGACAAAGCGCCGTTGTTCTTACGATGCATCGGGAGATACAATTGCTACTGCAGAACGACATGCCCGTCGTAAATAACGGGGCGTGGGAAAATTTGAAAATAATGATGCGATATACTCTCATAAGGTCTCTGACAAGATGAAAACGGCAAAGCGTTATTAAGTTTATTTTGTGCGCTATGAAACATCCATTTTATGGTTATGACGCAGTGCAAAGTTTCGTCGATAAGAACTAAAGGTGCATACTTGGAGCCATAGTTTGTGTCCGTGTATGCTGAGAATCATCAGAGGTTTGTCTGGTTAGTCTGATTAAGATTTGCGACATCAGGAAGCGTTGCTTTTTGCTTTTCTTTCTAATTTGTACCTGTTTAAATTTTAACTGTAATAAAATAGCGGTAAAAACTAATTACTTTCACCCGTTGAAAGTCGGTAATTGACTGCAAAAGCTCGGAAAGAAAAAAAAAAAAAAAAGCTCGTTCACATCGAACATACATCAAGCAAATCCGCAACTGTCGGTCGGCCTTCGCTTTTTGTTTTTATTTGTGTCCCTGGGGACATAATACAAATGCGATCTGTCTTGTTCCTCGGGTTTGAAAACACCGGAACCGTGTCGACGTCAAGTGAAAATAAAGAGCTGTAAGACATCACAAACATAAGAAATAAAAAAAAATGTATATCTATACATAAGAAAAGGAACAGGAACAAATGAGTACTGCCTGCCTACACTTTAAAATGGCGTTCGTTTGTTTGGCGTTCCTGTCGACAGGGATAGTCGAAAGAAAGTACAAAGCCCGGCACGCCTTTCTGAGCTTTCCCCGATCGCTTAAAAGTCATCCTTTTTGTCGAGATCAAAATCCTCTCGTCCTTTGTGTTCCAGGAGCGCGAGATCGATCGGGAAACGGCACACCTTGAGACAATATTTCTTTTCAGATTCTTCGCCCATACTTTCAGCACAATACCCGCAACGACTATAGGGAGAGATAAAGAGAGACGAATAAAAATAAAATTTGGCCGAAAGGAAGCGTTTGGGGATCTCCTGTACATGTAAATAAATTATACTGAGCAAATGTTCGCGCGCTCCGTTCTCGGTTCCAGGTTTTTGGCCGCTATTCCTGGGATTTTCTTCTCACAAGAGAGATTCGCGCTAAGTTGGAACAATCAGTCTTTACAAAAAAAGTGGAGAATACAAAGTACAAGAAAGAGAAGAAAAACACAACTTGGAGAAACTATGCCCCAATCACATGCGTCCATCAGACGGGACGGACGATGGATAATGGTTCTTTCAGGAGCGGGCGAGTAGCGAAACAATAGGCGACCTTGTTTAAAAGAGCACAGGTATAATGAATCGAAGTTTAACGAGTGGAAATTTGAATGCAGTTTAATAACTATTCTAATACACGATCGTAAAGAAAAACTACTTAAACGTAAAACAAAAATCCTGTTAGCTTTGTTGGCCATAATATACGAGAAAAATATAACTGCATAAAAACGAAAAAGAGAGAGAGGAAAAAGTGAAAGATGTTTATAATTCTCTGTAATGCCAAATTAAAGCGCAGCTCTTGAGGGGGAGGAGAGGGTACGGAGGGGAGGGTATGCCCCTCTTCCCCTCCATACCCTGCCCTCCTGCTCTCCCGCTCCCCTCATATTTAGCGGAAAATTATCAGTAAATTTCCCGCTTAGTCTAGCGGGGAAAGTGAATTGGTGGTGAGGTCACGTCATGCCGATTTCCCCGCTAAATTTAGTTAGAAAATGTTTTCGCTATATTTAGCGGTAAAACTTTCCCCATAAATTTCACGTGCCATCACACGTGACGTCACACGTGGCGTCACTTGACGTCACATTCATTCACAAAACGTCAACACGGCAAATTTAGCACAAAAAAAAAATCCCGCCAAATTTAGCGGGAAAATTTTATCATCGTGACTTCACACGTAACGTCACGTGTGATGTCATTATAAAAAAACGTCCCATAATGCAACGCGCGGTTACGCCGACGCCGCTCAATCCGGGAACAAGCGCCTAAGAGCTGCGCTCTAAAAAAAAAAAAAAACAAGATCGCACTAGTACGAATTGCAATAACACAGTGGAAACTAACATATGTTACCGCTCATTCACACTGGAAGCGGATCCGCGTTCGCAAAGCGGTTGCGAGCGCGGTTGTATAAAGATCCAGTACAATTGCACGCGCACTCATCTGCACCAACTCATCTCTGTGACGTCACGGCGCCACCACCGCGCCGTGACGTCACAGAGATGAGTTGGTGTATAGAGGAGGCTATGATCATTCCAACCATTCTAACGTCCCCGTCCACTATTGATCTCTTCCTCCCCCTTGGTTTCTCATCCCGTTGATTCGAGCTTTTTTCTCGGGAAATGCACAGCCGCAGCATCTTCTGCATGCAGACCTCATGTTGCAGCGGACTATAATCTTGGATAGACCATTCCAGGAAACGGCTTCCTGCCCGTCCAATTTCAGCGTTCGTTCGTGTGGCGCGTGATGTACTCGCTTTGCGGAGCGACGAACATGACACGCGCAAGATGTGAAGATCGCACGATGGGCTCCGGTTTTATAAACATTGGAAATGTCTACAGTATCTCGGTTCGGAACATGCTCAGGTATTTTTAAGTCTACATAGTCTGTTTCCAAGTGTAGCAAAGAAGGTGACAGTAAAACAATGTGGAATCGAAGAAAACTAACTGTATCTCCGATGGAGCGTAAGAGGACTTGTACATTTCTTCACTGGACGCATTTGATTGTTATTTTTGTTGTTGTTGTTGTTGTTGTTGTTGCAAAATGAAGTGTTTAGAAAAGAAGAAGATATTATCAATCAAAACATGATCATTTATAACATTCCGTGTAGTTTTGTTATTATTTTCTCGAGCGCAGACAAAAGCCCTGTCTACAACTTGCAAGCGTGCTCTTCACGCGTAAACGCAATCTGAGAGCGACAAGTGAACGTGTGCGTCGAACTGTGAAGGTTCGTATCGGCCACCCGTGTTTCCTCCGAGAGAAATAATCAAATGAAAGAAATAATAAAAAAAAAGCGCCGCAGGCACATCTTAAAACAGCCGGTGAAATTAAAGGAATTCTAGGAATTATATCTTATATACAGTCAACCGCTTGGCACAATCTAAAATACAGACAAAGAAAATGCAGCAGAGAGGAGTAGTGCCTGAATGAAACCAGACATTTTAAGAATCAAACAAGGGAAAGCTAATACCCCCGCCGGCTGCCTTCTACTGCTTATATTTGGACTCGAGCTTTCGCGTTTGGCTTTCGCTCTGTCTTGAATACCGAACCGTTCAGATCATATAGAAAACATTTGTGCCGGAAAAAATAATTAATATGCATAAATAACTATTACTATATGTGTGCCTGGCATTCATATACTAATCAAACGTTGGGATTAAATTTGCGTCTTAATATGTTTGGGTCGAACAAATTTGTTATTACTGTTTCGACGAAATTTCAAAAGCGCTTATATGTACTTATGCGATGCCTAATCAGAAAAAAAAAAAAGAAACTTTTATACGAGGCGTATATATGGGTTTTAAAGAACCTAAATTGCATCTTATTAACATTTGTTTCTTTGCCAAATTGTGATATTCAGTTGTTGGCAAAAAATATTTGTCGAACAATTGTGTTGCTACGATGCGCGTACCAAGTGGGCTTAGCCTCATCGTCGAAATGTAGAAATTCCTGAGTGCCCTCAATGAGTACAAACAGGGAGGGGGTGACGAGAGAGATTAGGGAAAAAAATTATAGATTATACTGACACGCTTTCGGTTTTCGAATGTGGCCCTTTGTTTTAGCGCAATCTTTAAAGAGTACTGTATATGCTTTTCGTAATCTTTCTCCTCTATTAAAATTCTTCAGTTACGAGTAGAGCGTTCTCCGGTCGTGTTTGTTCTTTTTCGTAGTCCGCGTTTTCTTATCTGTTTTCTTATCATGTGTAACGTTAACGAACTGGCCCAGTTAATCACGTTATCACAGCGTGAAGTCACGCTTCACGTTAGCGTTGTGGGTTGTTTCAAGTTCCCGCCCGAGGTCATGTTGCTCTGACGTTGTGACCCCATCGACCAATGAGAATTTTCGCGTCTCGCTAGGGACACCGGCTTTTCTGCGACACAAGCTCATTAACGCTATGGAGTTAAAAACAGCGCTCTGCCTAATGCCCGGTGTGCGGAGACACATTGGGAATTAGACCATATGCTTTGTATGTGCGGACGTCAGTGTTGGAATAAAAAGGTGCCGTTGGATGTTCCCCTTCTTTCGGGACGTCAGAAAAAAAAAAGGAACTTTCGGACCACTGGTTCATAATGAGTTGCGCAGTGACGAAATTTCTTTCCCAAAACATGAGGATCGCTTGCCGAGCGTGTTAGCGCACTGAAGTTCGTAGCAACTTTGCGCTGGAGAATCCAGGGATCTTGGGTTCAATAGACCGATCTCACCAAGCGTTCCACGCATGCGTGACGCCGCCATAACTGTAGTTCGTAGGAGGCAGACGCCAGTTCACGAGAGAGCTCATGCTGCCTCGTGGTCTGCTCGCGCAGACCTTTAGCAGGGTTGTCGCGCGTGCAGAAAGACTACAGCTCCCACGACGCATATCGGCAGCGGTGGCGTACTCAAACTAGCTGGTGAGATCGGTCTATTCCATTTCGATCTGGATGAGCATCGTACCGGCGTGCAGTCAGTCGTGTGATGCACGATAACGACGCCAGTTTAGTAGTTGTACTGCACTGCCTAAATTTCTTATCTACAGCGTAGACCGGTGTCGCCTCATGTCAAAGGCAAACAAGCATTACGACGTATAAACACGAATCTTTGTTGCTGTTTATTTCACTCGAAATATTTGGCAGTGAATTTTCTCCTACAGCTTATATTATACAACGTACAATACGATTCCGAATCTCACAGCGCACTAGTCACGCCGCTTTACTTAGAGAGATACACGATTGACACGACCGTTGAAAATATTTGATACCACGAAGGCGAAGTGAGGTTAAATTAGGATCATGTCAAGGTCGGGGTCGCAATGCCACTACAAATCGCTGGCCGGAGCCACGCACGTTATTTATGCTCGTAGAATTTGGCAGTTCCCTCTCGTAAATATAAAAATTCCCTCCGGAAACTACGCAATAAATGATACACGCAGGCTTCAATCGTAAGCGAGTTGTCGCGGTAATTTCTCTGCGACGAGTTATTTGGTTTATGCAATTGCCCGTCCAGCTTCGCCTAAAAATATGTGACGATCAGATAAATGAAGGATAGAGTAAAAGTGAATGAACAAATAAACCATGTTCAAGTCAAAAGCAGAAACTAAATCTACTCCGAGATTATGCACTAAATCTTATGGATCGCGGGCCTGCATTGCGCGTTTTCTTGCCATCAAATGTCGGGACAAATTACTTCCGAAAGAAAAGCGTCTTATATCTAGTATTACTGCTCATTTGAATACCTTATACGGATTTTTTTACGTTTTAAGAGCTTTCACAACCTCTTAAAATGCAGACGAGTCTGCAGGCGGCTCCCTATGTAACTCAATACGAGATCGCGGGGCTAATGCAGACTTAATCGGCAAATTTCAGAACGACCTCGCACGAGAAGACAAAGCAGAACTTTTAATAAGCCGCCAGGCACAGAACACTAAAACAGCAGTGGTGAAGAAGGAGACTGCATTAAAAATAAAAAGAAAAGAATTCGATGTTCTCGTCTTCTGTTCAAAGAAATTTGTACATGATGGGACGAAGCTTCGTTAGATTTATAAATACTGAACACTACTCGAACGTATGTCAAGCGCACCTTTTTGGCCATTTTAGTTTTTAAAAATGAACGTGAGGAACAGTCCTCGTAATGAGGATTTTGAAAAATTGGGTTCTGCAGAACACACTAAAAAACGTATCTGAGTTCGCTCTCCTGTAGAACACAAAGAACGCCAATCACGGTGAAAAATGTTTGGTTTTCAGCGAAGGACAAAGCTTATAAAACGGATATATAAAAAAAAAGTTGCCCCTTTGCCGCGTTAGCGTGTCAGAAGCAGTGGTAAAACAGAATGCGATAGGTTACTGTGGAGATGCTGCGTGCATATGTGGAGACTAAATGGCGCCAAACGGCCCTGTGGGGTGCAAGGCCACCACACAAATGTGGCTTGCCCAGAACCTGTCGCAGTTTGAGACGCGGTAGACGCTGCGTGGAGAAAACAGAACAATTGGAAATCGGCAGCGCCGAGCAGAGCCTCACCAGCAACAAACACCAGAAACTACCTCAACCTGCTGCAGCAAAGTAGTTCTTTTTTATTTTTGTTTTTTTGCTTCTTTCCATCTCTGTCTCTTTCTCTGGGGAAACCCGGAGCACGCTCGTTTCACGGAGGAGAGCGCCGCTGTAGGCCTGATCACGTGACGTTTTACCCCCTCCGGCAGTAAAACACGGAGGCACTCGTGGACGAGGTTCGGCTGACATCGGCGTCCAATCAGCGAGCAGACGAGCGCTGCGTCAGTGTACGGATGGCAGTCGGCCTGTCGACTTCCGGTGCTGGCACCTAACCGGATATGGTTAGGTGCCAGCCATATAAAACATTCTGTGTTAAAAATGTGATGCGCAAAGGGACATTCAGCGAGTGAAACGTCTTGCTCACTGTCCCTGCGCGCATCGCCTTTTCCCAGATCTTTTCTGCGCTTCTTCATTTGCTGGGATGCTTCTATTGTTCGCCGTGATTAACCGTCTTAATGTTCTGCAGAAAAATGAGCTCGCGTACTTTTTCTTTCTTTTTTTTAGCGAAGTTTGCTAAGTTTGTTAGAAAGCGTACCCTGACGCCGTTCCACATGGCGTACAGATGTCCCTTGTACCAGGCCAACACGACGACAGCCACAACGGTGCACGGCACCAGGTAGAGGAGGGCGGGTTGCGCAATGTGCATCAGATGCAGCGCCAGGAACGTGATCACCATGCCCACCCCGTAGGCTGCACAGGCCCCGACAAGGGCGTTCATAAGAACGACACACTTCGAAGTCTTCGCAAGTTTTGTTCTCGGCACAGAGTAAAGGAGGGACAACGGTTCCGATAAGACACGAGATCCAAACAGCTTATCTCTCAAAATAAACTACTTTTCTCCGGGCACTGTAGTCAATGAACGCTCAAGAATCTCTTGACCTGGCCTATTGTAATCACGCTTCTGACTTGATGATTTGTCATTGGGACTTCTCATCGGCTGATGCACTCATTGGCGGCTGAGCGATAATAGGACTCTCGCAAATGGGGGTCATTTTAGTTGCATATAAGCCTCGCAGATTATTACTATTAGCGTCATCGGGATGCTTGCGCCTCTCAAACAAGTCCTACGTTCTTTTAGATTGTTATTCTCACTTAGATTCGCCGCTTGTCTTTACACAGTCGCCGTGGAACGTTTGACCGGACCCGGAATACTGGGAAGGTAAACATCGCTCACAAATCGCACAAATATTGTAACTAAAGTAATTTCACTTTTATAATGTTAATAAAGTTACCTACTATACGCTAAGACTCAAGTAACGAAGGGTAATCTTGTTATTCTTTAGCAAATAGACGACATGTACGGGTGTTTTCCCGTAGGAGTGTACTGCGAAAGTGGACTGCTTGCCGTCTGCTTCATGTAGAAACCGGATGTCCCATGGACACTAGCGCCATTTGAACCTCTAGCGCGCACTATATTAACTCTATGGCGGGATCGCGCTTCTCCGCACCGCGAATACGGCCACCGGAAGTTCAAAATCAGCCATCTTGGGCCTGTGTAAATATAACGGGTGAAGTGTTGAGGCTGGGCGGCTGCGTACTGAAAGACAAATTTTCTCTACGTTCGCCGTCATTTGCCAAAGAAGTTTTTAAAAACCCTGTGTAAACCGTCATAGTTGCCTTTGAGAACATGACGTTGTTTTGATGAAAACGAAGCACTAGAGACAAAAGGTTCAGCACATCGAACGCGTCTCGAGGTCAGGTGGCGTAATCAAATGGCATGCCCTGGCACGCGAAAGTGCTGCGTCATTGCGCCTTCGCAATCTTAGAAACCGATCAAGAATTGACGCCGTGTAAATGTGCTAACCCTTCGGGAAAGTTTTTAAAGCTTTGTTACGCGTACATGTGTTTACTGCATACATATCGGTCGCGGAGTTCTTTATCGCCCATCTGTTCTGATAAGCTACTTAACAATACTTGGTATTATTAAATAAATAAAAAATCTGTGGTTGCTATTATGCACTATCAACCATGGTTATGTTCGAAATTTACTTGATGAATCCGAATTACTCACGTCACGTGGAAGCACAGAGAGAGAAAAGCGGTAGAGCAGCGCTTGACGGGAGATACGTTTTCAAACGCCACTGCACCAACCTCGTTTGTAGTACGCGAATGCCGAAGGTTACAAAAACAGTCGTCGAAGTAAAGTAAAACGCTGCTCCAGAGGCACATACACCTTCATGCACGTTGCACTTGCGATTTTGTTTTTCTGAATTTTTAACGGGGTGTCGATTCTTAATCGGTATCCAAGCGCGCGAAGGCACAGAGACGCGGAGCACTTCGTGGTTCCAAGGCGCGACCGCCGCCTGACTGCGAGACTTGCGTTTCACGAGTTGAGCCTTTTTCCAGCGGTGCTGAGCTTTCATAAAAACTCCCACTGGTTCTCGAAGGCAATTGAGACAGTTTACACGTTGTTTTTTAAAAAAAGCTTTTTCGGCGACTGATGGCGAATAAGCAGAACGCGTGTATTTCAGCACGCAGCTACCCAGCCTCTGCATCGATTCTCCTGGCAGACTCGGAAACTTCTGGTGGACGCCCTTTCCCTGCAGCGACCAAGCGGGGATATGCGATCCAGGAAATTGCCGTAGAGATCTGTGTGCCTGATTCACAGGGTGCGATTTTACTTGCGATCTCGCAGTTGCGACGTCGCTCGTGCAGCAAAAAGAAGCGATGGAAGCTACGGCGCTTATCGTCGCACTTGCGAAATCGCAAGCAAAATCGCGTCATGTTAATTGCGTTTGAAAAGATAGCGACTGTAAAGTACGAATATATGTTTTCAGCCTGCTTCATACGGTGACACCTTTCGTACAATTTTTCATCTGCCACGTTGACCACCGGCGTTTTTAATACGCTCGTTTTGTCACGTGAGCGAAGTTGCAAATGCAAATTCGCGAGTAAAAAAAAAAGCGCACTGTGAATCGAAAATTTTTCTTTTCGATGAGCCGATGATCAAGCGCAAATAATTCTTAACTGACGTGCAGCGCACACGTCTTATTCGATCATAATTTGCCGAAGCGCTCGAAAAGACGCCAAGTTCGTGATTGTTTTGATTCACTATTTCCCCCTTTAAACGAAGATTTCTCGTGGCAAGCTGTCTTATTTACCAAAAAGAGCTCCGCAAAAGCCGCAGTCGTCAAGCATTCGATGTGCGTAGAGTCGAATAAACTAAATCGGCACAAGCGGCCCCAGGTTCCACACCCGGGCATCCTTTGAGAACCATCGTTTTATCTCGGTCAACTATCTTACTAAAATAAAAGTGTGTGTTCCCCCCACCCCCTCTTTTCTAGTAGTAGCCAACATAGAATAGAACGTAACTACAAGCTCACAGTCAACAAAACAGAAATGAAACCGATAGACCAGAGCCGTTATCACACTGCTAATACGTAATACATCAGACAGTCTGCAGCTACTTCGCGAAGGCGTGTTTCTTTCTCGCATATCAGTTTTGTCACATTGCTAATACAAAAAACGGTCTGCAGACTTGTTCAGAGCATGTTACGTACGAAGCAAGCCTGCTTCCAACATGCACCGGGCGTGTCCCCAGAAACTTCAGTCGTCATGTCTGTATCTAACACCGTCTCTTCTTTTGCCGACGTGTAGGCAGTCTGACTTCCGCTTAAAAGAAGGGGAAAGGGAGGGGGGAGGGGGGTGCAGCGTGCTTGTGTTTGGCGAAGTACCCTTAGGGTCGAGACTGTGGACCTGCTTACTTACCAACGCAGGCTACGTAGTAGTAGAACCTTTTTCCCAGGGCCAACAGATCGAAAGCGTGGCAAAAGGAAATTAGCAGGCCTGCGAAGAACGCGCGGAGGTTGTCTGAATAAAACATGAGCGTGGGCGACCAGTACCCCACTCTCCTGAGCGCTGTTCTAGCCTTAAAACAACGCTTCGGGGGCTTTAAGCCCAGACGACGAGGCTTCAACGTCGAGGGGGCAACACGAAGCACAACAGCAATGACCGCGCCGACGACGGCAGCACTCCGCTAGATTCCACCACCGGGAAAACAACATCAACGACAAGAACAACAAACGCTAATATATCTGCGCACGAAAAGAGCTTCTGGTTAATTGGCAGTGAGGGGGAATATGAAGGGGGAAAAAAAAGGAAATGTTTTCAAAACATGAAAGCTGTGCGGGAGCGAAAGGAGAGAAAAAAAATCTTGCTAAGAGCTTGGTCGCATTTTCTGCCGCCGCGTCTCTCCTGAGACTGAAGCTAATCTGCGCTAAAACGATTTTCTTAGAAACGCGTTAAAAGCATCGAAGAACGTCACGATGAAATATTTTTGTTCGCTGCCTTTAATGTTTCTTTTTTTCCCGTTTTATCGAGGCGTATAATCCAGGTGGATAGGAGGAAGGGTTTCTTCTTTATCGATCAAAGAGTCGATCTCCCCTGGAGTAGGAAAAGAAAGAGGGAGAGTAAAACAACAAATATAAGATGTCCAAGAAAGCGTATTGATTTGTTCTTTGAGCATTATCGGGGCCGAAGAATAGCTGGAACTTAAGCGGGAAGGATTTCACTGATTGATACTACAACGAATTTTTTTTTAAATATATTAATTGCCAAATTAGAAGTTTTCGCTTGCTCTTTGCATTCTTTTTTTTTTCTCGTAGGCCTTGATTTTTGAACAAAAGGTCAGTAACGGAAAGATCGACTCTGTTCGATAAATACAGGCAAATATTTTATTTGCTTGTTTTTTCCGAAGGAAATAGTCTCTGTTGTTAGCCACATCGGTGGCTCCCAGGCAAAACACTAGTCTACGGACGACGGGTATGCGATCCCGGCCAAGGTGTCGGCAGTTTTACAGAGGCTTGTTGCGGAGAAAGCTCCCTTTTACTTAGCTTTAAGTTGCACGTCCAACACACCTTATCATTTCTATACTAGAGTGTGCCAGATGCACTTTGCTGGTTCGGCACGTTACGTACCAAAGTTAACTTTAAGTGAGTTCCAAAGCGGGAAACACACTGGAGCCCATTGCAATGTTCCGCATATTCTGGACTCGTTTTATCCACCCGGCCCCAAATCGAACCTATCTTATTTGCTTGATAGGTTCTTTAAGTTAACTGAGACCGAAATGAAATGATACAATGCTTAAAACAAACGCAATACGCGGTTCGTACTTGCAATATTTCGTAGTCATTAGAAACTTTTATCAGATTCTACGCTCCGGATTGCAGGCCCGGCGGGCGCGTTCTTAATTCAGGCTTCTAAGTGACGACACGAGCTCCCGCTCAGCGCCAAGTTCTAGCGTACGGTTTACTAAAAGTCTCTATTGACTAGATAAATACGCTTTAATATTTTTTTAAAAAAGCTTATTTTATAAAAATCGACAAAATCGACTGCGCGACACTGATAACGCAAACCAGCAGTTGCCAATTTTTTCATTTTAATTTAAGGGCTCCATAAAAATTACTAGTGTGGCCGAAAAATGTCATAAATGGCAGTAACCCAGACGGCAAAGTTCAGTGCCTTGTCAATACTTTGTCTGATTAAAATGCAGTTAACACGCCGACGTTGAGTTCACCACTTACTGTATAGCGCAATGTAAGATCACCTAACAGACAAAAAAAAGTCAACAAATTGCATGAAAAAAATAGAATTTCTCGCACGTAAATTAAAATATTGACGCCGTCTATTCTCGCCAGGCTTCTCTATGCACCAAAAAAGTGAGGGAGAGGAGGAGACGCGAGCGCACGGGGACGTCAAAATGCCAAGCTGTGATTGGCTCCGATTAGAAGGATAGTGGGTAGACCTCAATGCTAGCTGCCTTGAGGCCTACCCACTATCCTTCCAATCAGAGCCAATCAGAGCTCGACGTTCTGACGTCACTGTCGCCTTTCTGCAAGAAGCAGACAAACTTGCGCTCCGTATAGACGCGCGCTTTGCATCCTTACAAAAGCGGTGACATTCAAAATGTCCGGCAGATACCTTATGTTTTCTGACTCTGGGCAGTCGGCGATTTCATTTTCGCGGTGCCTGCACTTTATCTCAAGAGTTGTGGGCGGAGTCGGAGGAAGAACGGGTGAGGGTTGGTTGCTTAAGAATGTGCTCCCTTTGCGCGCGTGCTCGTTGTAATAAAGCATCTTGCTGATCTAAGCGCGCACTCGCGTTTCTTCGGCTGTGCCGCGCATCATTTTTTAGACGCAGTGCAGAAGGTTTACGGGCCTCACTCGGGTCTTGTGTTTTCTCTCCCGCAATCAAAAAATTCGAAGCAGCTCTAGTTTGGAGGTTCGAGACAGCACTTGAGAGGGCGTCGCGCCCCGTAAACTTCCGGGCAGATTTTTGCAAACGACCCGCGGCTAACGGGTGTTTCCGACGCTTCAAAATAGTCCAGCGTTTGAACGTCACGGATCGACCTAAAACCCGAGTTGATTACTTCGCAAGGACTGTGCATGCGGCAGACACACAACGCAACAACACTGAAAATGGCCGCAGCTGGAAGCTATCTCCTGAGCCAGTGCTCGCTGAATCGATGTCGACCGTGCAAAAATCCCAGCCAAACACGCGTGAACCCAGAATTTTGGCAGACAAGAAAAACGCGCGCAACATAGACACCTAAGTAAATAAGAAAATGTAGTGGCGTGTCCACAATGAGATTCGTGCAACATCTAAAAGTAAAAAAAAGTGAAAAAAAAATTTAAAACGAAAACGTTACCCTATAGTCTATACGCTAATTGGAATGTTCTATAGAAATGTGACATCAATTACGTATGACAGAAAGAAACATTTTCAACTCGACAATGTTTACTTCTACTTGATTCAATGAGAGCAGTATTTTTGACGGGACAATACGTCATTACCTGCGTCGATTATTATTATTTTAACTCGCGGATAAGGTGCACAAGTTATTTCATAATCATATTAAATTTTTTTTAACACGTTAAGGCGAACGGACTTCAAATATTACTTGCCGGCACGTTTAAAATTTATTATATCAGCCATGTTTGCACTTAAACGCAAAGGACTGAGCGATAAAAAAAAAAAGTAAATGTGAACACCTAGTACTCCATAAGAGCTTTCCGTGCACCAAAAAACACAATTTTGGTTTAGTCGAAGAACAGAATTCAGTGTTTTCTTACGCAAATAAGACCGGGTCGTCGATACACTAATACTGCATATAATCCCGTGGTGGGAAATTTACCTGGAGCCAGAATGTCTCCGAGACCAAGGATGGAGAACTTCAAGGGAAAGCACTGCTTGTACTTGTACCGATTCAGCCTCGGAAACTTGAGGATCATCGGGAGCTGCTCTGTGGACTTGCCTCCTTTGGCCACTTCGACCATCACGCTTTCGCGGTTCTGATGTCAACGCGAAAACAGGACACGATACATGCGTTTCAGGAACCGGAATAATATCAGCGGAGGAAAGACGACCACAAAACCTTTGTTTATCCCCGGGTTCACTCACCGCTTGGAGCCACGGCGTTACGAAAACGAAGAAGACGTCATACACCAGGAGTAGTGTCAAAAACAAGCAAACAATCTAGGAAGAACCACAAATACAATAAATTAGATGTGCGAATTGTTTTACCACATTTTTAAGCACGCCAGTAAAACAAAAGAACGGTAGTATAACTGGCGATGAGCTTGAACAGTATTCTGACACGTAATTAGTTTTATTAACTCAATTGTACGTTAGTGGAAGCATATCAGCATGGGTGGAAGTGTCCTAGCGATAGAGAACCGATCAAGTTGTAAAGTTTTTTCTCTATGTGCAAATATTTTAACAAAAAATAAATATAGGGCATTAGACAAACTTTTATGAAGCCTCTAATTCTCGCGCTTCTTTTCTGCGTTTTGTGAGTGATTTTTAAAGGTTTGAGCAATTTTTGACTACGATAAAAGTTTATTTTGAAAAAAAAAAAATCAGTCAAGAAATTTCCTTTTGCTTTACTCTCACCTAAACTTTCTCTCACTGCTCGCGTGCCGACTTGTCGTGAAGGGTTAGTTTCAATAATTGGTTAACCGAATTACACCTTCTACTATCAATCGCTGTTGGTAGATAAGAAATAAAAAAGGGAGAGCAGGAAGGGGTAAGAGAATGTCCCGGGGAAACGTGGAGGTCTGGCTTTACCTGCGCCGTGAAGTAGACACCAGAAAGACGGAAACCATAACAAAAACGCGTATTGCAACGTGCCCTTTGATTTTGCCGACTTTTGGATTCAAGGCGTTAAACTTGTTTTTTTTTTTTTTTTTAGATTTCTCTCGTGATGAGGCTAAGAGGACGTGCCAACAGGGTAGGAAATAGTCGCAGAATCAGACTCGAGGTCAAAGGCTGATTAAATGAACGGCAAATCAGACACCTTAAGGCTGCGGTCCCACGGCAGCCATCTTGAACAAGGCGTTAGTTCAACCAATAGGTGGCGACACGCACCCGTGGGGTGTAAAGCCCCTCGATATGTTTTCGTTTGCCTTTGCAAGTAGCGCCAAATGCGCAAGCCACGTGGTCCAGGTCTCGAGCGGCCCTTGGAAGCAAATGGCGGCGCAGCACTGAAATGAGCGGCCCTTGGAAGCGAATGGCGGCGGAGCACCCGCTTGTGGCACGTGTCTTGCGCATTTCCGCAACAATGGTTGGCGGTACTTGTGAAAACACCTTTATCAAGGGGCTTTAGTGGGGTGGCCAAAACATTGGTTCACGGTGGGATGGCTCGAGCACCATCACGTTCCCCTCGTGGCCTTGCTCGCGCCGCTGCCAGCTGAGCCTGGCTGAGCTCAGCTGGTTCAAGTAGCGTGGCCCATCAAACGGATGTATGCGAGAATGTCAGGTTGGGTATAAATGCGGTTCGGCGGTTGTCACGGGTTTTCGCAATAAATATTACCAAGAAGGAATCACTTGTTGATTGACGTATCAATATTATATCATTGAAAACTTCGTTGCAGGAATGCACGCTCAGTTGACTCAATCTTCCAAAATACCAGTGGACACGGACGTCAAGTAAACTGCTTCGCGATTTACAGTACTTACCTCACCATTATAATGACGACTGAATAGTGACGTCACAAAGTATTGTGTTTCACGGGATCCGTAAGGTGTTGTAAAGGTTGTTACATTATAGTTCCCTGAAAACAAACGCCGTTCCAATATGTTCGGAAGGACCGACACATAATGTTGTAAGTACAGCTCAGGAGGAATGTGATGGAAACCATCAGAATAAATAGGAAGGCGTTTATTTGCAATGAAGATTGTATGAATGAACGGCGTTTAGCGACGCTAAGTTATGAGCGTTCGGGAATTTATCAGTTCACGTGATTGCTAACTATGGACATGCGGACAATGAAGACCTGTTTTGTCGGGAGATGGAGTAGCGGTGATGACCTGATATCGGACGACTCGTGGCAGACGAACAAGCAAGTTTCTTCTCAGCGAATGGTAAGCGTCCAGTATCAAGCACAGCACGTGGCTACCGACGTTGTCGACTTTTCGAACACTTACCGCTTCTAACAAAAGTGCTGGGCTAACTTTGTGGAAAGACTCAAAGTCTTCCTCGAGCCTAGCGCCATCATAAACAGTAATTGAAAACGATCCATTATTCGGTCGATGGGTGGCGAAACGTATCCGCATCTGCGGAGTCATTGTCGATGCGTACTCTAAGTAATTGGAAGTTTACACGATGCCTGCCACGACGGCCAAACGCGTCATTGACGTTCTACGCTGTTTTTCCTACTTTTACCCTACCGAAAATACTTTTCTCTGATAACGCTCCAAATCTTGCTTCAAATAAACTAAACAAGGTTTTGAAAAAAAAAAAGAAGAAAACCGGCATCAGGCATCACCTTAGTGTACCATACCATCCTCCAACAGGCAAGCAGAACAGATGGTGTGCGAAACGAAGAAAGCCCTCTTGCAGCTTACGGAAGAAACACTTCAGTGAAGAATCGCCATTTTTTTGTTCCAGCAACACGCGATGGTCTCATCTTACACGGTAAAAACACCCGCCGAAGCAATGTTCGGCGGACGAAAAGTCACACCCCTCGATCTCATGATACTATGGCCTGCGAACGAAGATCGAGAGATTCCCACATCGGGAGTAATGGCAGTTTATTCGGTCGGACAACTCGTCTACCTGAGGAATTTCAGCGGAAGTTGGGCCTTCCGTGTAAAACTTGAGTAGAAAAGGCTCTTTGTTGGTTGACCAGAAGGCGTCATCCCTCTGAATACGTTCGATATCAATGCCCTTCAGTGTAAATATAAAGAAATCACAAAACTCTCTTTGTGTATTGTGTAACTACCCTTGTATTTGGTAGTAGAAGCTATAGTGGTGATTTGGACCTTTCACACCAGGCTCATTTTTCTTATTTTTCGCCTCATACTCGTTTGCGGTTTCAGCAGGCTTCAAGAATATTTTGGAACGGGGACACTTCCCGTCAACGAAGCCATTTGTTCCAAGCAGTCAATCAGGGAGTGCTGCAAGAAATCCGTCTCTCATATTAACGAATAAGCCGCACTTCTGCACAGTGCAGTTTTCCTGTTCCACATACAGTTGTAAAGCAGCATCGTCATTGATTCTACCATAATCTATTGCGGGTGAAGAAAGGTCTTTGGGTACACGATACTTGAAACAAGTCTGGCAATGCACGTTGTGGTTCGACAACCGCTAATGTCATCGTCCTTATAGAGCCTCATCATTTAATCATTACCGCGTCACCTCATATTGCTCCTCATCAACAGTAAGTACAATAGGCTACCACTTTATTGCAATCCATGAATTCAAAAATTGAGTCGTTCAGTCCTGCAATATGTTTCTCGTTTATATAATGTTATTACCTTACATCACCTCGAGACGATCGACGCCCATCGTCGATCTTCAAATACTCCTACCTGTATATAAATTAGATGCACAAAGGGGGGGGGGGGGGGGATCGGTGGCCAAGTGAATGGTCTCTACTCTGTTTCACTTTATGATGTACCGCAATAAAAGGTACAAGCGCGAGCTCCTTGCTCTGGGGCACATCTCGGCGGCGCAAGCTCTCGTATGTTAAGAGCAGCTACCAACGCTATGAGCTCGCGCTTCTAGTCTTCTCTGAGCTCGCACTGCAGAACCCACCCCGCCCCTGCCCGTTTTGATCTGGAAGAGCATCGTACCGGCGTGCGGTCGTGTATCACTACTGCGTGGTGCACGTTAAAGAGCCCAGGTTTGCGATTGTATCGCACTGGCTAAATTGTTCATATACAGCCGAGACACCAGACGCCCACTAAGGCAGACTAACTTCCGGCTGTATAAACATACCCGCAACAATTTGCAATTAGACGCACAATCACAAAGAACACAGCAAGCCGCCTCCTTTCTTTGGATCGTATTTTTTTAAACCAGCGCAAGCTCGCGCGTTCTTTCTGTTGAGACGGTAAGAACGGTTGCACATAAAACCCGCGTTTTTCCTACCCGGCCGCTTCCTCCTCTCATTATGTGTAGTTGGTTATAACTAAATAAGGTATAATAATAGTGTATTATTCATATTTAGTTTCAGTTTCAGTCAGGGGAAAGGTGATTTGAGGGAAGTAGAGCCAATAAATGAGCTGCGCTTAGAGTATCGGCACTCTCTTCGCCGACAGTGTTGTGAACGCTGCCATTTTCGTGCATGAGCAGAGCAGGCGCAACTGCCGATCGTCATGATTCAAAAGTGCGACATCCTCAGCATTAGATTCGGTGTTAGGAAGCTCATTTATGTTGCTTTGCTTTGTCGCAAACTGTTTAAAGTAGAGGACGGAAAAGCGTTTCTTGTGATTTCAGATAAAGCTTCAAATAACTGGCAACCATGATTTTAAGCCACAGTATGGCCAAGTGTCGCTACCCTGAAGCGTAGCTTATTTAATGACACTATTCATGCACTTGTTCAAGAGGCTTGCAATACCTGGAGGAGCCATGACGTAAGCCCCGTGGATTCTACAAGCCACTACCTTTTGACACCTGCCTCTTCCTCATTGTTCCCGCTTGTGCCAGTAAATTAGCTACGGTTCAGAGTAACGACACTTGGCCATATTGTGGCCTAAAATCATGGTTGCCAGTTATCTAAAGCTTTATCTAAAATCACAGGAAACGCTTTTCCGTCCCCCACAAATGTTTAGACAACCCGCGACAGAGCATTGGATATTGCATCAGCTTCCTTGCACCGCATCTAACGCTGAGGAAGTCGTACTTTTGGATCACGACAATCGGCAGTTGCGTTTGCTCTGAACAAGACCCAAAATGGCGGCGCCTAAAACAATTTTGGGGAACGGAGTGCCGATACTTTAGAGGTCATTTAGTGACTCTAGGCATGAAGTGAACTCCGGTGTATTTTTTTCC